TTCCTTTAGAAAAAGCCTTCCTCAGTTCCTATGAAATTTTTTTCTACAGAAAAAATAGTCCACATTAAATGAAATTTTTTTTTATAGAAAACCAAAGTTTTCTCAGTTCCTGGTCAAATTTGTGTCTATAGGAAAAAGCCTTCCTCAGTTCCTGAGCAATTTTCTATAGAAAAAAATGTCCTCAGTTGCAGACCAATTTATTTCCATAGAAAAAGTGTCCTCAGTAGCAGACCATTTTTTTCTATAGAAAAAAGTGTCCTCAGTAGTTGAGCAAATTTTTTTATAGAACATAGTGTCCTCAGTAGCTAAGCAATTTGTTTTCCATAGAAAAAAGTCTTCTTCAGTGTATCAGCAATTTTTTTCTTATGGAAAAAGCCTTCCTCAGTTCCTGAACAATTTTCTATGAAAAAATTGTCCTCAATAGCGGAGCACATTTTTTTCTATAGAAAAAAGTGTCCTCAGTATCACAGCATTCCTCAGTTCCTGAGCAAATTATTTTTTCTATAGAAAAAAGCCTTCCTCAGTTCCTGAGCAATTTTTTTCTAAAGAAAAAAGCCTTCCTTAGTTCCTAAGAAAAATTTTTTCTATTGAAAAAGCCTTCCTCAGTTCCTGAGAAAATTTTTTTTCTATAGAAAAAACCTTCCTCAGTTCCTGAGCTAATTTTTTTCTATAGAAAACACCTTCCTCAGTTCCAGAGCAAATTTTTTCTATAGAAAAAACCTTCCTAAGTTCCTGAGCAAATTTTTTTCTGTAGAAAAAACTTTCCTAAGTTCCTAAACAAATTTTTTTCTATAGAAAAAAAAACCTTCCTCAGTTTCTGATTCTATAAAAAAAGTGTCATTAGTGGATCAGCAATTTTTTTCTATAGAAAAAAGCCTTCCTCAGTTCCTGAGCATATTTTTTTCCTTTAGAAAAAAGCCTTCCTCAGTTCTTGGGAAATTTTTTCTACAGAAAAAATAGTCCCTCATTAAGTGAATATTTTTTTCTATAGAAAACCAAAGTTTTCTTTCAATTGAATAACCCAACTGCATACACCACAACATAATCATCAGTCCGTCCACCAGGTCATCACTCACACAGCATACGGCTTTCATTATTTCTCCTAAAATTTCTCCTTGGAAAAGAGGTGTAACCTCTGTTTATTTTTATTTCTAGGTTCTCTTATAATTAGCAACACCACTCTTCACTCTCTCTCCCCGCACTCATTACGGTACTAGCAATGCATGCCATTTGTTGTTGGGATAGGCAATAGTTTTGCATTTCAGTCTTTCTATTCAAAGATGCAAAGGCGCGCATTTGCTATTGCTTCTTACAAACACCAACAACACAAACCCATGTCTGTCTGTCTGCCTATCCACATCATCCGAAGACCACCTCCTTCTCAAATGCAAAAAACAAAAACACGGAACAGAAAACTTTCTTATGATTCGTTTATTGCAAAAATGTTAGTTCGTCTAAGGAGTTCGTAGTTCGTTTTTAACATCCTTCACACCCACACTCTCACTCTCTTTTGTTGTCGCCTAACGTTGTTGTTGTGGTTGCTACATATTTGCCTTTCAAAAATTCATAAGGGTTGCTTGCTGCTGCTTTGTTATTGCTGTGCATTGTTGTAGAAATTATGATTCTGCGCAATGCCAATCTAAATTCCAATAGGAAAAAAGCGCGCCTAAAATGAATTAAGCCTTCCCCCAGAAATGCTAAACGAGCAGCAACACAATAACACCAACCGACAACAACCACAGCAACAGCACATTGCATCAGACAGTAGTGATGCGTATCGGTTGTAAGCACGTGTTGTTGGTTGCAAACACGTGATGGACGGCGAACAGCCACGTTGTTCGGTTGCATGCCTCCATTTGTTTACAAACAAAAATTGAGAGAGGAGTTTTTGTTTTGATTTTTCAAGGAATTGCTCTGTTTGAGAAGTTTTGTAGAGTAAAGAGAGGAAATTTCAAAATGAAGAGGAAAACTATTATGAAGAACTCTCTTTGATATCCACGGTTAGCAAAGATACAAAACCTTTCAGTAGTTGAGGAAATTTTTTTTCTATAGAAAAAGTTGTCCCCAGTAACTGGTCAAATGTTTTTTTCTATAGAAAAAACCATCCACAGTAGCTGAGCAAATGTTTTTCTATAGAAAAAACTATCCTCAATAGCTGAGCAAATTTTGTCTATAGAAGAAACTGTCCTCATTAGCTGAGCAAATTTTTTTCTATAGAAAAAACTGTCCTCGGTAGCTGAGCAATTTTTGTTTTCTATAGAAAAAACTATCCTCATTAGCTGAGCAAATTTTTTTTATAGAAAAAGGCCCTTCTCTGTAGCTGAGAATGTTTTCTGAAGAAAAAGGTCTTTCTCAGTAGCTGAAAAATTGTTTTTCTATAGAAAAGGGACTTCCTTAGTAGCTGAGCATATGCTTTTCTATAGAAAATAGTATCCTCAGCGGCTGAGCAAATTTTTTCTATAGAAAAAACTATCCTCTATAGAAAAAGGTCTTCCTCAGTAGCTGAGCATATGTTTTTCTATAGAAAAAACTATACTCAGTTCTGGAGGAATTTTTTTATAGAAACAACTATCCTCAGCAGCAGAGCAAATTTGTTTCTATAGAAAAAATAATCCTCAGCAGCAGAGCAAATTTTTTTTCTATAGAAAAAAACTATCCTCTGCGGCTGAGGAAATTTTTTGCTATAGAAAAAACTATCCTCAGAAGTTGAGCAAATTTTTTTCTATAGAAAAAACTATCCTTAGCGGCTGAGCAATTTTTTTATAGAAAAAATTTCCTCAGCGGCTGAGCAATTTTTTTATAGAAAAAACTATCCTCAATACCTGAGCAATTTTTTTAATAGAAAAACTATCCTCAGCGGCTGAGCAATTTTTTATAGATAAAACTATCCTCAATACCAGAGCAAATTTTTTTCTAGAAAAAACTATCCCCAGTTCCTGAGAAAATTTGTTTATAGTAAAAGGCCTTCCTCAGTTCCTGAGCAAATTTTTTCTGTGGAAAAAAGCCTTCCTCAGTTCCTGAGCAAAATTTTTTGTATAGAAAAAAGCCTTCCTCCGTTCCTGAGGAAGGCTTTTTTCTATAGAAAAAATTTTTCTATAGAAGAAAGCCTCCCTCAGTTCCTTAGCAATTTTTTTTTTTATAGAAAAACTATCCTCAGTGGCTGAGCAAATTTTTTTCCATAGAAAAATTTTGTTCTCTGTAGCTGAGCAAATTTTTTTTCTATAGAAAAAAAAATATCCTCAATAGCTGGGCATTTTTTTATGGAAAAAAACAATCCTCTGTTCCTTAGCAAAATTGTTTTCTATAGAAAAAAGTTTTCCTCAATGCCTGAGCAAATTTTTTTCCATAAAAAAAAACTTGTGCTGAAACGATTTCTTAGAACAAAATTGCCCCTCTTTGATTAAAATTTTTAAAAATTGTAAATATTCTGACCCTTGATGATAACTAATCCTTCCTATGAACTCCGTCTCACTCCCTATCCCTCTTGATTACCCACAGCTCATTACAACAATAACATTATGTCATTGTAATAGCTCCACATGGACAACATTGACGACAGGATAATGACAACAATGTTGGTAGTGATGAGGATAATGGAATCGTTGATGGTATTTTTGACCTGAACACACATTCTCCACTGCCTGTCTATAAATGCCATCTCGAATTTTTAGGAATTTCAATTAATTTCATATTCAATAAAGTTAATAGAGATAGAGAGTTGTTGTTGTTGGCCAAGGCAAATTGTATAAAGCGTAACAAATTAATTTCGGTGTCATTGTGTGTGTGAGAGAGAGTGTTTCGAATTGAGTAGAGTAAAATGTGATTACTATCGGCATCAGTATTTAGATAAAAATCTAATCACCATAAATTTATAAAAAAAAAATATTGTAAATTTTTGTTATTATATTGTTGTAGCTTTATGGTAGTATTTTAGTTTAGTTAAATTATAATGACAATGTAAACTATTAACTGCCATTGGATATTACAATGTATGTTCAAATAATGGGTTAAATAAGTGCTAAAATGTATTGCCTTGAATTAGGTTAGAATAATTTTTCAATAATTATTTTATGGAATGAAATATATTTCTATACATACAGGCAAATTGGTAGTAATCTGAACATTTTCTCTGTAGCAAATGTAGAAAAAAACTACCCTCAGAAGCTGAGCAATTTTTTCTACAAAAAAAACTATCCTCAGTAGCTGAGCAAATTTTTTTCTATAAAAAACAACTATCCTCAGTAGCTGAGCAAATTTTTTTCTATAGAAAAACTATCCTCAGTAGCTGAGCAAATTTTTTTCCTATAGAAAAAACTATCCTCAGTAGCTGAGCAAATTTTTTTCCTATAGAAAAAACTATCCTCAGTAGCTGAGCAAATTTTTTTCTATAGAAAAAACTATCCTCAGTAGCTGAGCAAATTTTTTTCTATAGAAAAAACTATCCTCAGTAGCTGAGCAAATTTTTTTCTATAGAAAAAACTATCCTCAGTAGCAGAGCAAATTTTTTTCTATAGAACAAACTATCCTCAGTAGCAGAGTAAATTTTTCTCTATTGAAAAAAAACTATCCTCAGTAGCTGAGCAAATTTTTTTCTATAGAAAAACCTATCCTCAGTAGCTGAGCAATTTTTTTCCATAGAAAAAACTATCCTCAGTAGCTGAGCAATTTTTTTTTCTATATAAAAAAACTATTATCAGTTCCTGAGCAATTTTTGTTCTCCACATTTCTAATAGAAAATTGGTCATGAACCTATAGAACTACTTCCTAAAAAAATTAAATCATTTAAATAGATAATTCCAAAGATTAACAAATCCGCATATCCTATCATCGAATCTTTTTTTTTAATAAGTGTTCAATTTCAACATCACTTATTTCCTCTACTTCCGACAATTCATTGATTCTTATATAAAAAGCCACTTGTGGTGGTATTGAATTTTTACGAAACAAAAAAAATACAACAATTCAAGGAAATCCCAATACAAGAACACTTGTGCGAATGATTACTCTCTTCCGACGTCGCCATCACCACCACCACCTGTTTTGTGACGAACATGACCCTTAAGACAATCGTTCATATATATTTCGATGGCTCCTGGCGAAGGCGTAAAACAAAAAAAGTTAAGGAAAAAACTACTCCACATATCTCTCTTCCTTCATCGAAATCCAAAAGTGTCGCGCTGTGATAATTCGACAATCGTGAAATGATTTTTTGCTGACGCCGAAGAAACAAAAAAAAAAATCCTCCAAACACAGCCCCGACTAGTGCTGCTGCTGTTGTTGCTATTTTTAGTTTCATCGTCTTAGACGTGAACGGAAATAAAAGCAATTCGACAAGACATGGCATGAAATTCCCAAGACCATTGAAAGATTGTGATAAGGAAAAAACTGCACAGAAAAAAATTTTTTGCTCAGGAACTGAGGAAGAAAAAATATTTGCTCAGCTATTGAGGATAGTTTTTTTTTCTATAAAAAAATTTTGCTCAGCTACTGAGGATAGTTTTTTCTATGGAAAAAAATTTGCTCAGCTACTGAGGATAGTTTTTTCTATAGAAAAAAAATTTGCTCAGCTACTGGGGATAGTTTTTTCTATAGAAAAAAATTTGCTCAGCTACTGAGGATAGTTTTTTGTATAGAAAAACATTTGCCAGCTACTGAGGATAGTTTTTTTTCTATTGAAAAACAGTTCCTCAGCTACTGAGGATAGTTTTTTTTCTATTGAAAAACATTTGCTCAGCTACTTAGGATCGTTTTTTCTATAGAAAAAAATTTGCTCAGGAACTGAGGAAGGATTTTTTCTATAAAAAAATTTGCTCAGCTACTGAGGATAGTTTTTTCTATAGAAAAACATTTGCTCAGCTACTGAAGATAGTTTTTTTCTATTGAAAAACAGTTCCTCAGCTACTGAGGATAGTTTTTTCTATAGAAAAAAATTTGCTCAGCTACTGAGGATAGTTTTTTTCTATAGAAAAACATTTGCTCAGCTACTGAGGATAGTTTTTTTCTATAGAAAAAAATTTGCTCAGCTACTGAGGAAAGTTTTTTCTATAGAAAAAAATTTGCTCAGCTACTGAGGAAAGTTTTTTCTATAGAAAAAAATTTGCTCAGCTACTGAGGAAAGTTTTTTCTATAGAAAAAAATTTGCTCAGCTACTGAGGAAAGTTTTTTCTATAGAAAAAAATTTGCTCAGCTACTGAGGAAAGTTTTTTCTATAGAAAAAAATTTGCTCGGCTACTGAGGAAAGTTTTTTCTATAGAAAAAAATTTGCTCAGCTACTGAGGAAAGTTTTTTCTATAGAAAAAAATTTGCTCAGCTACTGAGGAAAGTTTTTTCTATAGAAAAAAATTTGCTCAGCTACTGAGGAAAGTTTTTTCTATAGAAAAAAATTTGCTCAGCTACTGAGGAAAGTTTTTTCTATAGAAAAAAATTTGCTCAGCTACTGAGGAAAGTTTTTTCTATAGAAAAAAATTTGCTCAGCTACTGAGGAAAGTTTTTTCGATAGAAAAAAATTTGCTCAGCTACTGAGGAAAGTTTTTTCTATAGAAAAAAATTTGCTCAGCTACTGAGGAAAGTTTTTTCTATAGAAAAAAATTTGCTCAGCTACTGAGGAAAGTTTTTTCTATAGAAAAAAATGTGCTCAGCTACTGAGGAAAGTTTTTTCTATAGAAAAAAATTTGCTCAGCTACTGAGGAAAGTTTTTTCTATAGAAAAAAAATTTGCTCAGCTACTGAGGATAGTTTTTTTCTATAGAAAAAAATTTGCTCAGCTACTGAGGAAAGTTTTTTCTATAGAAAAAAATGTGCTCAGCTACTGAGGAAAGTTTTTTCTATAGAAAAAAATTTGCTCAGCTACTGAGGAAAGTTTTTTCTATAGAAAAAAAAATTTGCTCAGCTACTGAGGATAGTTTTTTTCTATAGAAAAAAATTTGCTCAGCAACTGAGGATAGTTTTTTCCACAGAAAAAATTTGCTCCGCTACTGAGGATAGTTTTTTCTATAGAAAAGGAAGACTTTTTTCTATAGAAAAGGAAGACTTTTTTCTATAGAAAAAAATTGCTATGGAACTAAGCAAGGCTTTTTCCAATAGAAAAAAATTTGCTCAGGATCTTTTTTCTATAGAAAAAAGTTTGCTCAGAAACTGAGGAAAAATAGCCTTCCTCATTTCCTGAGGAATTTTTTTCTATAAAATCAAGACTTCCTCATTTCCAGAGGAAATATTTTCTATAGAAAAAAGTCTTCTTTAGTTTCTGAGGAAATTTTTTACTGTAGGAAAAATCCTTTCTCAGTTCCAGAGGATTTTTTTTTTTTAGAAAAAAAAAACTGTCCTCATATTTTTCTTGAGCAAGTATGTTTCAATAGAAAAAGGTACTTACTTCTTCAGTTCCTGAACGACTTTTTTCTATAGAAAATCCCTTCCTTAGTTCCTGAAAATTTGTTCCATAAAAAAAAACCTTCTATAGTTTCTGAAGTGTTTCTGTTGTAAAAACCTTCCTCAGTTCCTGAGGATTTTTTTTTTTTTTTTTTTTTTTTTTTTGAGAAAAAAGTGTCCTAAGTTGTTGAGCAAAATTGTTTCTATAGAACAACTGTCCTCCGTTAGTGAGCATGTTTTCAATAGAAAAAAACTGTCCTCAGTGCCCGAGCAATTTGTTTCCTATAGGAAAAAAAACTGTCCTCAGTTCCTGTGCAAATTTTTTCCATAGTAAAAAACTGTCCTCAGTTCTTGAGCCAATTTGTTTCTATAGAAGAAACAGCCTCAGTTCCTGAGCAAATGTTTTTCTATAGAAAAAAACATCCTCACTTCCTGATGAATTTTTTTATAGAAAAAAACCTTCCTAAGTTCCTGAGGAATTTTTTTCTATAAAAAAAAGCCTTCCTCAGTTCCTGAGGAAATTTTTCTAAATTTGTTTTTTTCCAGTGTCCCAAATTGTCAATTATTGCTCAATTGAGGGTGATAGTGGTAGAAAAAAAATCATAGAATTTCCTAATAGAGATACAAGTGTGACTGTGACTACAAATCTAACGCCTTATGTTACAAATCTTGTTCACTTTTTTTGTTGGATTCCAAAGCAAGGAAGCAAAAAGGCTATTGGAATAAAAAAGGACTACAACTTATCTTTGAATGAATCTTGAAAATGTTGCTGATATTTCAATTGTCTCTGCTGGTGTTCGCCAAAAAACAAACCTCCGAACAAAAAACCCAGTCAAGATGAAAAAGACAAGATAATAAAAAATGCAATGGTCTAACGAATAACTCACACCACTCAGATATAAAAAATTATATATTTAGTAAAAATATAAAATAATAAAAATTAAATAATTTTTAGTACTGAGATTAGAAGTAAGACTGCTTACATTTTTTCCTTGCATTGATTTCTTTTAGAGCCATAAAAAGTTATTATAATGTTTAATAGTTTTTCTAATTTAGTTCTGAGCTTTAGCTTTTATTGTGAAACCTTGCATTTTTATTACCTTTAAACTTTGTATTGATAAAACTTTTAAAAGTTATTTTTTTTGAATAATCAAAAAGAACACCCAAAATAAATAACTCGGCAATAGACATCATCTATGAGAATTACCATGAAACACATTCGAACCCCTTGCCTCAAACAGCCAGCCAGTCACCTCACCTTAACCCGTCCTAACTAACATCTATCTCCGAATTGTAGTTGCTTGCTGTCTGTTATCATTTCTTTGACTTTGGTCTGTTTTTTTTTTTACCACAATAAAATGAACTAACAAACAACAACAACATAGCAGCCAAAATAACCTTCAAACATGAAAATTGTTTTATTATTTTAAATAAATCATCACACGAATATAAAAAGAAAAAAAACACAACAATAAACCAAACAACAGCAAAAAGTAACCCAACTACTCTGAGACCCAAACCTAAAACCGGAGCATTCAACTAATTTGCCAATGAATTCATTTCCATTCGTATCCGTTTCATATGTTAACTTTATTTGTAGAAAAACAAATTGAATGGCCTTCTTCTCCCCCACCTCATCTTGGTCTTAGCTATCATCACCAGGATTTCCTAGGGCCATCATCGTTTAAGCCGACAATACATTCCAGCTGCCTTAACTCGTCTTTATTTGATGGTGGTGGTGGCGATGATGATTATGATGTTGATGAGACGATGATGATAAAGAGTTAGAAAAAGGAGTAGCCGGTTGTGTTATAACCAAAAAGATTTTTTACATGGCCAAATGTATTTAAATTTTATCACTTTTTTTTGAAGGGGAATAGGTGAAAATATACAGTGGTATGAAATAATTCAAGAATGGGATGTTGGTTGTATAGTCGAAATGACTCCACCATATTTTCCTTGGAAAGCCGTGGTCTCCATGAACTTTTCCATGGAAAAGCGTGGTCTCCACCAACTTTTGCATGGAAAACGGGAGTCTCCACTACATATTCCTTGAAAATCGGTGTCTCCACCAACTTTTGCATGGAAAACGGGAGTCTCCACTACATTTTCCTTGAAAAATCGGGGTCTCCACCAACTTTTCCATGGATAACGGGAGTCTCCACCATCTTTTCCATGGAAAACCGGGGTCTCCACCACATTTTCCATGGAAAACCGGGAGTCTCCACCAACTTTTGCATGGAAAACCGGGGTCTCCACCAACTTTTCCATGGAAAACCGGGGTCTCCACCAACTTTTCCATGGAAAACCGGGGTCTCCACCAACTTTTCCATGGAAACCGGTGTCTCCACCATCTTTTCCATGGAAAACCGGGGTCTCCACCACATTTTCCATGGAAAACCGGGAGTCTCCACCACATTTTCCATGGAAAACCGGGGTCTCCACCAACTTTTCCATGGAAAACCGGGGTCTCCACCAACTTTTCCATGGAAAACCGGGGTCTCCACCAACTTTTCCATGGAAAACCGGGGACTCCACCAACTTTTCCATGGAAAACCGGGGTCTCCACCAACTTTTCCATGGAAAACCGGGGTCTCCACCATCTTTTCCATGGAAAACCAGGGTCTCCACCACATTTTCCATGGAAAACCGGGGTCTCCACCACATTTCCATGGAAAACCGGTTTCTCCACCACATTTTCCATGGAAAACCGGGAGTCTCCACCAAC